ACGTAACCGCTTCACCACCGCTCCCCTAATTGATTTTCCGAGCTCTCCTAAAAGACTAAAAAGACGGTGTTTTTGCCAAATTTTCAGCGCCGCAGTCAAATTTTTGAAAAAACTGGTCAAAATTGAAAAAAAAATCACTTGAAGAGCTTCATTATGATACCACCTTTGACTACGGGAGTCTCGTTAGCTACAAACGGTTTTTGTGCACTTCATCCGACATCTTTGCAGGCGACATGTTTTTTTTTCAAATTGGTCTGAACGCCGAAAACAATCGTCAATTTTTTCTCGAAATTGAGAAATTGCTTAAAACTCAAAACTACGCAAAAAATGCTTTGGTATGGAACCCACTAAGAGCTTCCTTGAAAAAAAGACTCTTTGCGTGATCCGAACAAAAGCAATTTCAACTGAAGCTCAAAAGAATTCAAGTTTCAACTTGTCAAAAAGTGTCACTCAAACTAAAAGATTTCTATTTTAAAAAATCTTAGATCTTGAAAAAATAGTTATCCTCCTTTCAGGCACTCTTGATTAATTTGTTTACTACTTTGCTTTCATTTCTAATTCAAATGATTATTCAGATTTTTATTCATAATCCAAATATTCTCAAACAGTATGAAAGATGACTGCTAGGCCTTGATAATGCGCGCATTATTTGCTTTTATCGATTTTTCCCTTTAATTCGTGTCATCTAAGTTTTTGTTTGGACAACTTATGATGAGCAAAACAGCCGCATCCGGCCAATTTTTTCTCCATCGCGTTGCAGATATCAACATGATGAAGTCGGATTTTATAGAAAAATATCTTGAAGCGTAGCCTCACTGAAGTTTCACGGATGAAAATCAATTATACTAGGTTTTCATCGTCAATCTCTGCAAAAAAATGTTCAATTATAATGGATTAAAAATTTTGTCAAATCAGTTAACTCCATTTTAATTGATTACAAACCATTATAATGGATTATGAAAAAAATTCAGTTCGTCTAAAAATTTCAAACCTAGTGCAGTGTTTTTGCAAATTCAAAGCTACTTTTGGCTTAAAACCGATTTTATTATTACATTTCAAAAATGAAACTTTTTATCTGTTTTTGTTTTCAACTTCCAACTTTTACCTTCATATTTTTTTCTTATGAAATTTTAGTCTCTCAAATTTTATTGACTCTTTGTTACACCCTCCTTTATCCAATTTTATCCTTACTTGTCCCCCATCTTATTTATAGCTTCATTTTAGAATATCCCCCCCCCCGGAGGCAGGGTTGGTTACTGAACGTAATGTCTTAACTTTTGTTCCCCCTAGTTTATCACACACCTCCCCCAATTACCACAACCATCCCCTTCCCCGTTTAAAAGTGTACCCCCCCCCCCTCGTGAAGGGAAGCGAGGAAGGGGGTGTCGGGTAGGTTGAAAGGTGTGTGTGTGTGTGTGTGTGTGTGTGTGTTATTGTGTGTATGTGTGTGTGTGTACAAAGGGATGAATGGGTTCGTTCGGGTTCTGATTTTCCAGAACGCTGCAACAAACAGAGTAAATAATTCTTATCTGCAAAAAAAATTCAATTTTCATGAATTTTGTGAACAAAAAAAGATTCTATTATAAGATACAAAAAATTTAAATTTTTAAATTGTTATAATCGGTTATAATGCAATTTTGAATGTTAAAAACTATCTATTATAGTTCACTAAAGGTCCGTTTCTATGGTTAGATTGGTCATGATTTTTGCCGATATAATACATTATAATCAATTATTTTCTATGAAACTCTAGTGCGAAAAAAAATTTTCGTAAAAGTAATAGCTTTAACATACGCACAAAGCGTAATGAACATTTTATGCATTTTGCTCAAAATTGTTTAAGACAATTCAAAATTTGGAAAGTCATTTTAGTTGAGCCTTAACAAATATATTATTTTTCGGAAATTGTTTTTTTCTCTGCCAAAAAAAAGAAGTCAAAGGGTTTTTCTTGCTTCACATTATGTAAAAAGGCTTATGTGATTATAAGTAAAAAAAACGTTGAGAAAAAATAACAGCCTTTTTTTTTAATTTTGTCAGTTTTTAATAAAGCTCAAGTTTCGCTGACTCGCAGGGCAACCACATAGTTTGATGAGTTATTAGGAGCCGATGAACGTGATTTTTTTGTTCTTTTTTCAGGAAGTGTCTTAAATTTTGTTCTTTTTTCAGGAAGTGTCTTAAATTTTGTTCGGGAAGGCAAACTCCGCTATCGAACAGCGAAAGTTAAAAGGTCACAAAAAACGTGATCGACTTTTAGTTTCGAAAAGGTATTCATATTTCAGATTTCCCAGCGAAATGAAAATTTTAACTATTGATCCAGTTTTCTCAAATTGGGTTGATTTCATCAAAAAAAGTGCCCATCAGAAATTGTTCTAGAAATTCAAAGGGGGGTTTTAAGGGCATCAAATTTTGTTTGAACTTTGAGAACCGTTGGCTATTTTTAGGTTGAATGAGCTGGAAGAGACTGCGGAGAATGTGGAGGAGGAGGAGAGAGAGAGACACGCGGAGGGGGAGAGGCGACACCTGGAGGCAGCTCAGCAGATAAAAGAGGCCAACGCGGAACTCAAGACCAAACTGAAGACCATCCTGGGCACAGCACTCGCTAGTGCAGCACACTAAACTACGCGCACTCGAACTCATGCTCTAACCAGTTATTTAGATGGAGCATCAAAACTGTGTTTTATTACGCTTTCCGGAAAATTGAGAAACGTTTAAAAATTATCAGAAAAAATGATTAATTTAAAACTTAAGACATATTCAAAAATCCTGAAAATTTAAAATTTTGAATTTTCGAAAAAATCAAATGAGTGGGCTTGATGTTCTTGCTTTGACTGTAAGTAATAACCATCAAACTTTTTAGAATTTGAAAAAAAAGCATAGGAAACTTCAGTTAGATTTTGCTCCTAGAAATATAATTATCTAAATTGGATCATCTAATAACACTTATCGGAGCGGTCTTAGACTATTGCTTTAAAACTCAATTGCAGTTTGGCTATAAAAAAAAATTCAGCAGAAAAGATGCCAATGTCAACTTTCCACAAAATCAGACCCAGACTTTCTACATATCGTTTTATTTTCAACCGTTCTAGCATACTTTTTTCTTCTGTTTAAGCCATCGAATGGAAAAAACTCGCCTAAAAATGTTTAAAAAAAACATAGCCAAGACCGATATCGGTATTCATTGCACCGTCTTGCAAAATCTGCGGTTGATTAAGAAACAAATAATATCATAAAATAAAATATGGTATCAAGCAGCGAAGAAGAATTGCATTTGAAATGGGGTAGATGCAAGTGACAATTTTATCCTAATCCAGTTATCCTGTCAGCAATTGTGTCTCTTTTCCTCCAAGCAGATTAGCTCCGTGCTTCCCGGCACCCCCGTTGGACCCGGAACAAGTTGTGAATGAAAGCTGAGGATAATCTAATCAGAGCCTTTTGTTTAGAACACTTAACTCTTTCCCCCTGTACCGAATAGCTATCTCTATTGGAATCTTGTTTACCCGCATTTGTCGGCATTTGCGCATGTCGCTAAATATATACAACTTACACTCACTTAGGATTTGCACTTCCCAAAACTAAATCCCCTGATTAACTTTCGCCACTTTGAATGCAATACAGGTGCGATTTGGTCCTAGCGGCAACTCAAACGATTTTCTTGGAACAGTATCAAAGTGGTCACTTTGTCCACAGACTTATCAAATGCGTCTTTCATCTATTCTTTCCGGAAAACTCTCGTGTCAAATCTTGTAGTTTTTTGTTTCGCCGAATAAAAACGTAAGTAGTTCTGCTTTATGAATAAAAAAAGTCAAAGAAAAACTGTCAAAAAATGAAATCTCAATAATTATGTCTGAGTCTGACCATTCAAATCAACTTCAAAGCTTGTTTAAAGAATCGCAAAAATCATTGATCTAATTTGTTGAACTATCCCTTGTTTTTGCATCAGGCCGAGGTTGATTGTTAGTAATGCGTCCATTTTCACGAGGATCAACTTTGTCTTTTTTGTTTATGTGGGTGCAGGGGCGGATTTAGGGGGGGGGGGGGGGGGGGTGAGACGTCTTTCCCTCAGGGATTCGACCCCTTGCCGACCCAAGGGGTCCCCCCTTGGTACTTTTTCAGAAATCCATTTTTGGCCGACCGACCCTAAAAACTTTTTACAAGCGCCTTTGGCGCCAATAAATACTAACTTTGAGGGGGAGCGCGCGCAAAAAAACGCGGTTTTTTTGTCAGCATTTTCAAAAAGTGCCCAAGAACGGTTTTTTTTACCTGTTTTTTCAAAAAATTTCCTGCGGTGTAGAAAATTTGACCAAAACAGTGTCTTTTTAGCGCTTTAGTAGAGCTCGGAAAATCAATTTAGCTTAAAAAAAAAAGGTCGTCAAAATTTTCGAAATCTTTTTGAAAATCAGCCCCCCTCCCTCGAGAAAATCCTAGTTCCGCCCCTGTGTGGGTGCGTATCATAGAGTACTTCTAGCCTCTGTCAAAAAATATCCAAAATTGTGCCAATCAATCTGAACTTTTGGATCACTCAAACGAAGATAAAAAGTGGCTTCCTGGAAATAATAGCAACGAATTTATTTCCTGTTTTTTTTTCTTTCCTTTTGTTTTTTGAATATTTCAAACTTTTTAATAGAATAAGCTATTACTTTGTTTTTGCTTGCACCGGCTCCTGTCTCTGGTTATCTACTTGTTTTTGGTGCCTCGTTTTGTGTGTTGAAAAAAGAATTAAATTGAGTTGGAAAAAAAACTGTGAGATTAAGATCGCCTTCTGACTCTTAGATATCATACTTTTTTGCTATACAAAACTAAGTCAATTAGCTTTTTGTTAAGATTTGAAATTAATACCTACAAAACAACCTCGCAAATCCTATTTGGTTGCCCCAAATCCTATCCTCAAGATTTGCTTTTACTCTTGATTCAGAGTATCCAGTTGCGGCTCAGAAGATGTTCCGTGTCATTAATTCCACCTCATCTGATAGAATTTTAAAAATTCTTTGTTAGGAGGAAATCGGACCCAATTCAGGAAGTGATCCTCAGGTGCTTCTCTGACACGTTCCATTTCCCCTCACCTGTTATCCACAAATTTCAACCACTTTATCCTAACCTTTCAATCCACATTTTTCCAACTCTTCCTCTCCTTTAAAGACACTCAGAGAAATTATTTATGAAAAGGCGTTAAATTTTTTTCCAGTGCCAATAAATCAAGAGTATGTAAGTGAACAAATTTATTGATGGAAGGAAGTTTTTTTTGTGATCTTTTCTCACTGATCTATTTACGACTTATTGTTTTCTAAATGCCACATGGCGTACGACATTTGTCGAATCATCAATTTTTTAATTGTTTTTAGATAGCATTGACTTTTTACTGCTCATAGATGAACAAAGATTTGGTGCGTTTGGAGCCTTGCTCAGAAGTAAATTTCACTAAGAGAAAACTCATTTCGCTTCTTTGTCATTTTTATGACAGAAAAAGTTAATAAGAAAATTAATTCAACAAAACTGTTGTAAATATGATTTAATAATTAATTAGAAAAGTAATTTGCGGAAAAACTTACTGTTCGTCATAATAATAATAAAAATATTTAATTCACGGAAAAAATGAAATGTTATCTTTCCCTCGCTATTGTCAGTTTCTCACATTTATTTAGCTCCATTCTTTTTAACCCGCTTCAGCTCATTTGAATAATTTTGCTTCCTCATTTAGGTGTATTCGTATCCATTAGCGGAATCATTACTCTTTCACAGTCGAGGAAACTGCTAAAGACTCATTAAAATTCCCCAAATCCGATTTGCCTTATTAAAAAGCGCTAGTAACAGAGTCCCAACAATTGATATTTCGAAATCAACTCCCCTTCAATATTTGTAATTACTTGAAAGTTGCAGTCACTTAAAATATCGATTCTTTTTCTGAAAAAGAAAAAGATAAAGGGCTCTGCAAAATGACTCTCCCAAATTGGCTGCTTATTTCATTCGTATATCTGGCTACTTTGGCTGAATCTAGACCAGATGCCAACAAACTTCTTGACGTGAAGAAAATAAGAGTTAACGTATCCGACATTCTATCCGAGAGACTAGGCGAAGAAAAAAGATCTTCAATTCTGCAGAGCTATGAAAATCTGCCCCATGGATTTAAAAATGTGTCAATTTTAAACCTCACGTCGCTGACGCTAGAAAACCTCAACATGCAGTACGAAAACATCATGCGTGAGCTCGCACCCGCGGCAGTTCGAACCCCGCACCTGCCACTTCAAACTGGCGACTTCTTCCTCTCCAATATTCCGTCTGAGAAAGTCTGGACAACTGTGAAAGACTTGCCAAGTGGGGAGGAGCCTTGGAACACACTTCCTGGAAAGTTTGTGATTTTGAAAAACGTGGTGAGGGGGTCTTACCGGCCAATAGCTCTTTGGGACAGTGGCTTGATGACATATTACAGCATGTATTTGGACGGATTATCTGAAAGTCAGCTGCAAATATTCGAGTACGAACTGCCACTGAGACGACTGAACGAAATGGCCAATGACCTGTCGGCTCTTCATACCAAATATGGAAAGGAAGCCTCTTGTCACAGCCTAGTTCGAAACCTGAACGAAAACTTGAGACGACTGAGTGACTTGGTGTTGAGTGAAAAATCTGCTCAAGTTCTGCTTTCATGCGCATCCTATTTAGATATGCTGCTTCAGCACAACGATTTGTATTCATTGACCCGAGAAACTGACTTCTCCTCAACTTCAGCTGCAAGAGCCGTTCTGCAAAAACTGATCGACTACTTAGTGAGTACTTCCAAGCCAATTCCATTGAATCTAGTGCCGGCTTTAGATTCTAACACTTTACAGCAACTAGCTTCGAAGTACCAGTTCAAACCATCATTTATGCACGCCGTCATAAAAAAATCTGACCATACAATTCTAGAACTCTCTGAACATTACGCCACCAAGTATGACTCATCGAACTCCGTCCTGAGATTCCTTATGAGTCCTTACTCCCATTTTTCTCAGCTGAAAGAGTTCCAACTGAACATAAGACTGCTCTGCTCCCAGATTGGAAATATCAACTCAAGTCTTCTTTCAGCGGGTCAAAAATTGGCACTCTTTGGATATTACAAGTCCTACTGTCACGCATCAAACGGAGTCATAAATCAGGATGCGATTTCGAGGAGCAAGCTGTCTCTGTGCTTGTTTGATTCATCAGAACTGATACAACTGTCCATTGAAGATTTAAAAGAGATGCGTGAACTGATTGCATCTGATTGCTCATGTATGAACGACCTGCAAAAGTTTGTAATTTTCCAGAAAATTGAAAACGATCTCATTGAGCACGAATTCTTCAGAGCGATTTTGCCTTGTTTTGAAAGCTTCGTTTCGAATGAATTCGCAGGCAAAATAATTCGGAAGCAGGTAAATATTCTTTCATTCTGTCATGTTAAGCTAGCTGATAGTTTGTTGCAGTCGAAAAAGATCTCGGATCAATATTTAAGAAGCTTCGACTTTATTTTGTGCGACGACTCGAAGAAACTTAGCCTTGTTCGGTCATTCAAATATTCTGACGAGGGGGCTCTTATACCTCTAAATTCAGCCTACTGGCTTGACTATTTGCACTTTGCATCTTTACAAGTCACGTCTCGAGAAGGCCATCAAAGATTGGCTAAAGAATTCATTCCACAAATGGATGACAAAAAGTCTATCAGTCAACTTGAGGCTTATGCTCTAGCCGGACCAACTTTAGTGGAGTTGCCTGTTGGATTCGTTGCATCTAGTAAATTCTGCTCTGAAGCTATCTTCGCCATTGGTTTCACAGCCCACAAGTTGGTTCCATCGAGTGTGTTGACATCGTGGGTGGACGCTTATTTTGCGTGCCAACCTGACAAACTAGTCCTGGCGACTAGAAAAGATTTGGACATTTTAGGCAACCTTGTCTGCTTCGTATCTCCAAACTGGGTGAAGATGATGACTCATTACACTTTCAATGTCTATCTAAGTCGAATTTCACAATGCGTGATCACATTGCAACTGGGTGGTGTAATCCGAGAAAGGATTTTGGAGCGGAAGACTTCAGACAACGGCTTCACATTTGCAACCATAGCTCCTCTTTATTGTTTCCTAGACCCCTCCTTGAACCAAACCCAAAACTTGCTGTCTAAATCATTTTACTCCGTTGCTGCCAATGCAGTATACAATATGGAACAAATGAGAGCATTGGAGTTCTCGGAATCGGAGATGTCGGCTCTGATTGGCTGTGCGGATGCGTTGGCAGTTGAGGCGAACAATGAGGATCCATCTCTCAACTCACTAGCTACTCTGACATGTACCAGCAGAACCGACTCCCAATTCTTTTCATGCTGGAACTATCTCAAATTTCAATACTGTAAGTGAACTTATTAGTTACTTTGTTCACTAATTTGAGAGTGCAAATGTCAATTTTGAAACGTAAATATGGATTCACCCCCCTGCTGACACAAAAGGGTCCCCCTTTGTACTATTTTGAGATATTATTTTTGGTGACGGACCCTAATTTGCGGGGGGAGCGCGCGCCGGAAAAACGCGATTTTTTTGGTCAAAATTTTCCAAAAACTGTCTAAAAACGCCTTTTTTGGCCTGCTTTTTCAAAATGTTTTCCTGCGCAGAAATTTTAGCCAAAAAGGGTCTCTGTAGTGCTTTGGCAGAGCTCGGAAAATCATTTTGGTCGACTAAAAAAAAGGTGGAACAAATTTTCGAAGAAATTTTTTTGAAAATCCACCCGCCCTCTCGAGAAAATCCTAGATCCGCCCCTGGTCAAGTTTGCTAACATTTTTAAGCTTTTCAGGGATGATTTGGGGCCTCAAAATTGTCTCTGTGCGAGAAAATTGGTTTAATTTTTTTTCATTTTTCAGAACATTTTCACCAAATACAGAGCAGCCGTAGCCGAGTGGTTTGAGCAGCCGTGGCCGAGTGGACGGATTTTGAAACAAAAACATACAAAACCTATACAACATTTGAAAACAAAAATATGTGATATTTTTTTGTAATTTTTCCTATTTTTCAATTTCTTTACTAAAGCAGTTGCCTTTCCGTTTTATATTTGTAACTCTTGTCAACAGCATAATGAAAAATTGAGACAGTTGCGAGCAAGATAATCTCGAATTTTTGCTAAGTTTCTAAATTGCGGTACATTTTAGCAAAACTGGAGTCGATCAAAAACATGAGCCCATGTGAGATCCAGAAGTGCCTACGACATATGGATGTGAACATGTGGAACTCATCAGAAACCCTGGAAATTATCCAGTCATATTTGGATACAGCCGAATCAGAGCAAGATACCAACAGAAAAATCCAACTTATACTCGATACAGGAAAAACACTGGATGCACTCGACATCCATAACTTCGATATTCTAATTCGCAAATTGGGAAATGAAAACATTTACTTTTCAAATTTTGAGTTTATCTCTTTTTTCTCTGATCTTAGTCTGGACAGGAGTGTTTTGGCATCAGTTGTGAATAAAACTTACCACTACATGTACAAATCTCACGCAACTGACCCGAGAACCAATTTTTTAATGCGCAAGCTTGACGCAAAGCTAGAGAAAGTGTCTTCAAAAAGTCTGAACAAAAATGAGATGTGTGACATGTTCAAAGGAAGTTTTCACGACTTGCAACATTTCATGAAATATTTCCGCGGTGATTCGTCGATTGAAGATATTTTGTGCTTGACAAATGAAAACTGGTTATCAATGTCAACAACTAGACCAGAGCTATCAGAAGAACTTATCCGTAAATTGTACGGAGTGCATACCCCACCGGAGTTCGTGCTTCAAAAAGTGGGTCTCTATCACCTGATGAAAAATGAAACTGCACCTACAAATAATGAAAAAGTTTCAGAAACAAAAAGTATCGGCGACTACAGCTTGTTGAATGATGAAAGCTCGATTCAAAATGAAAACTCGGATTATTACTTCGAGCGGCAAACTATTTTGATTTACGTGCATGCAAACTGCGTAACCGTTTCAACTAATATTTTTTTAATACTAATGATAACTTTTGTCAACAAAACTTTAATGTAGTGCCTAAAACTAAAAAAAAAATAAAAATTTTAGAATAGATAATTGAATTGAATTTCTTATATCACAATTTTTCCGTGAAAACATGGCCGACCACTTTCTCGTGAAGTAAAGTCATTGTAGTTTTCATTGAAGTCATTGTATAAAAAGGGTCAAAGCAGTGGAGTGAAGCATCACAATAGGTCATCCAAGTCGTAAATCTGACTTGGTTGGCTTATTGTGATGCTTCACTCTAGAGCGACGACCCTTTTTTGGGATGCTTAAAAATTTTAATGAAAGAAAATCTCAATTGCTTTAGGTGATTCTGTTTAACAAGGTTTTAACCCAAAAAATGTTTTTAGTATAGGCAGCGGACTTTTTTTTGTTCCGACTTTCGATACGAAAGTAACGGAATATTTGTGCTCGGGGTGGGTTTTTTTTTTTCTTCAGACAAATTTCGACTTTTTAACTAGCCATTTTTGACGGAATTTTTTTATATCATTCGAAAGCCATTGTTGTCCTGAACTTGAATTTGAAAAGATATTTCACCTGTGATCATTTTTCGTAAAGTTATGAGGGTTTAAAGATTGCCATTTTGGCAATTTTGACCAATTTGGGACAATTAACGCGCGATATACTTCGCGCTATTAACGCGTAAGCGGAGATTTAATCCGTCTTATAAATCGTTCCAAATTGGTTGAACGAAGCTTATTTGCCATAATTGATTTGTTACAAGGAACGAAATCTCTCTTTTTCGTACTTTATATGGCGTGTGGGGGGATGATTTTCATAAAAAATTTCAAATTTTGGAAAAAAAAGTTCATTTTATTTTATTTCATTTAATTTTTTATGTTATTACTGCTGCTCCATAAACCTTAAAAGGCAGTCGGAACATTCAGGGCTTTGCCCTGATACGAGCAGTCTTGTATTATTTTGCTTGCATTCTTCAACTTTTCATTTGTGAAAATTTCAGGTTTTTAAGGAAACTGCGCTACAAAATATATAGGATAAAACTAAACTTTTGAATGAACTAATTCGAACGCTTAAAAGTACTACGTTTTACTGCCAAGTTATTTACATAAACCGGTTTTTCGAAACACTTTTTTAGAGTTTTTCATAAGTTGCACGCATTTAAAAAAAAATTTAAACCTGGCTTTTTTTCCTCCTTCAACCTCAAATAATTTTAAACATCAACTTTATGGTGTAACTAATGGTTTTACAACGTTGAGTATGAAGACCAAAAAAGTTTGCCACGATTTAATCATGCCACATGCTTGTTTTTGATACAACTGGACAATGTAAAGGAATCTTGTACTTACAAACTGGCACGGGCAGGTAGGGGAAAAGGAAAAAGAGCCAAAAACTTAGATCGGGCACCAGGAAAATTCCAAAATGTCTGCATCATTTAGAAGTTTTAATTTTGGGATCTTGATGAAAAATTGATTCAATTCTTCTGTTACGTTTAAAAAAAGAGACCTTGTTTAGTCTGAGTTTTAAAAAAACGAACGACGTTTTTCCACGCTATTGCCGACATCAAACATTTTTTTTTATATCGGCCGCCTGTTGTGAAATCGGTTGAGCGAATTGTTTAGCTGATGAAAAATGGTGGCAAAACTAGCCAGATAAACTGCTACACACTAACGCAGTTTCAAATCTGTGAATTCTTACACCACTGGCAATAGACAATTAATTATTGGAGCAGCCATAAGTTCAGCTCTTCCTGGGTTGAAGCTGCATTGTGCTTCAGTTTTTGCATCAATGAATCGTTTATGCTGCAGTGCCGCATAGAGGACGTTCATCCATGAGTCATATATGAAACATAAATGCAAATTGCTTTGATGAATCAAGGCTTGATAATGATTGAAAGTTTTATCCAATCTGTGTTGCTCGATGATTTCCATAATCGAACTATTTGTTTTTTTTACGTATTACTTTTGAATAACGTATACATATAATTTATTAACATCATCGACAAACAAAGATTGAATATAAGTCTTCTTCATCGGTTTGTGGCAACTTTTTTCCTTAAAAAAGAGCTCTCTTATATCAACAAGTTTCAGTGGAATAGGATATACCGGTTTTGCGATCAAATACTTCACTAACGTAATTAAATTAAGCAAGTTATATGGATAGACTGCGAATATCCTGCAAAATCACAAAATCATAACAATTTAACCATGGCACTTGGTAAGATCTTGGCAAAAAATCCAAGCGGCTAAAACAAACGTACAAAGCCGGGATCTTGCCAGGATATCAATGGTAATTTGGTCTTGCAAATCTTGAAAAGATCATGCTAAATCTTATCAAGATCTTAGCAAGATACCATGATACTTAAAAACGAAATGTTCCGATAATATGATCTCAAGCTGATCTGTAACTAAAAATCATAACACTTTCAAGAAATCAATCTAAAAACCAATAAAACTTGTTTCAAAAAATTTAAATAAAAAAAAGTTAACTAATTTACGCACATTTTTGATGTACATTTCTAAGTTTATGAAACTGTTTTAGTAATTTTTTCACATCTGTGAAGTCTTCAGATGTCTTGTATAAAATATAAGAAAATCTGTTTTGAAGCTATTTTTTTGCCTAATTATTTGAAAAACTAGCTAATCATTTACAATTTAGCTATTCTGGCTATTATGAATCAATTTCCAAATGAAACAACTTTATGCTAGAATATGGGCGCAAATTTTTGACAGCTATGAAAGATGCTTTCTGAAATGTAACAAAATTAGAATTGGTAAAAAAAGCGATCTTCTAGGTGTATAGATTTTGACGCAACCCTTGGTATAACTCTCTTAGCATCTAAAATCTTACAAAATCCTGCGAAAGGATGCTACTTCAGTAACTCAGTGACATCAGAAACGCAGTTTCCGACCGACTTTTTCATGCTTTTACCTAAAGCATGAAAAGCGAATTTGCCTGCTCAAGTTCTGTACACAGTAAATTGATTTTGACGCAACCCTTGGTATAACTTTCTTAGCATCTAAAATCTTACAAAATCCTGCGAAAGGATGCTACTTCAGTAACTCAGTGACATCAGAAACGCAGTTTTCGACCGACTTTTTCATGCTTTTACCTAAAGCATGAAAAACTTTTTCATGCTTTTTATACCGACTTTTTCATGCTTTTTATAAATTTTCGCGTAACTTCTCATTCTTTGTATAGTTATATTGTGAGACAAAGTATAGGCGACCAGTAGAATGTTAAGTAAGAAGTCATTGATGGATCAAAAGAACGGTAACCCCAAAATCCAGTTTTGTTGGACTCGATAAGGTGCACGGGCTTACATCAACAATTTTTTCAAATTTTAGCCAATCAGAAATCGTTGTAAACTTTTCTATGAGAAAAAAAATTTGAGACACGAGCGATATCTTTGAACTTCGTTCATTTAAACTCTCTTTTAAACTGGGCAAAAACACTCAAGCTCAGTCATTTGATATTCGAAAGTCTTCTACCCATGTTTACAAATTGAACAAGGTCAAATAAAACGAACTGAAACAATTTTGAACGTTTTCTCGTGAACTGGAAAATTTTCACGTTAACTCGAATATAGACGATCGAGCAAATTTGATCAATGTCAGGCAGGGGCGGATCTAGGATTTTCCCGAGGCGGGCGGATTTTAAAAAAACTTTCAAAAATTTTGACATTTTTTTTAGGTCGACCAAATTGATTTTCCGAGCTCCCCCAAACCACTATAAAGACCCTAATTTGACCCAATTTTCTGCGACGCAGGCAAATTTTTAAAAAAGACCAAAAAAATGCGTTTTTAGGCACTTTTTTGGAAAATTTCGACCAAAAAATCGCGCTCCCCCTCAAAATTAGTATAGATTGGCGCCAAAGGCGCCTTTAGAAAATTTTTAGGGTCCGTCAACAAATATGGATATCTCAAAATAAAACAAAAGGGCTCCTCCCCGCCTAAATCCGCTACTGATGTCAGGTAAAATCGAACGAAGTCGAATGTCCGGTAAAAATGAACACTTTCGATCAAAGTCCAGTAAAATCGAATAAAACCTAACGATGTTCGGTAGAACAGAACAAAGTTGAGCAAAGTCAAGAAAAGTCGAAGAATGGCCGGTAGAGTCGAACGAAGTCGAAAGCGGACATCATTCTACTCAAAAAGTTGAAAACGGCCATCGTTCGACCGTTTCGGTCGAATCAGGAGTCGAGCACCTCGAACCGGGGAAACCTTTAAATTTAAATTTTGTTTCTAACAGAAACCTCACTCCAGTCTGTTTCTGTACACAGTAAATTGATATTTTAAAGTCTTCTATCCCACGATCACATAGTTGAAAGTAGAAAAGCTAGTAAAACAAGCCAACAAATATATTAATTTTCATTTTAAATGTGTTTCGAAAAAAATATTGTTTCGAATATCAACTCAACTTGATTTATTTTGTTTTCATTAAACTTATAGCAAATTTTTCAGTCACATCATTGAAGAAGCGAGCCCTAAATGGTATAGTTTAGATATTCTAATGAGTACATAAATATATAAGTAAAATCACTCATCCACAAGACTGAAAAAAAAACTATCAATTTGATAAAATTTTTATATGGTCAAACGCGTTCACGGTTTAAAGCAGTTTGGTTCTTAAGGCATGGCCTAAAAAGAACAAAATCAGTACTTTCTTCTTCGTCATATAGATTGTAAGCAATGACGGCTGGCTACAATTTCATTTCGCATCGACCAATGAGCAATTACGGCTGTCAAGAAGTGTTAACTATTTGAGCTTGAGTTACATCGACCAATCAATTTTTATTAGTTTTGCTGTTCGGCGCTTTCGACTCTCGCGTCATTCATTGTGGATTTTTATCTTTTTGTGAAGTTTCAAAAATAAGTGAAGCTTTTCTTCAAATAAAACTCTCCTGTTTTTACACAGAGGCGAAGTGGAACTTGGCATCACTTGCAATTTACACTGAAGAAGAAATAGAAAAAACTAGGTATACCAAAAGTTTCGCATATCTCTATAAAATTTCCTTGTAGACGAGCATGCCAAGCAAAATGTTTGAACATTAAATTAGCAAAGAAGCAGAACTTACGAAAAGGAAACAAATCCGACAATCTTTGAGCAGAAATAAGTTGAGCCGAAAAAAAAGTAATTAAAAAAGTTTTAAAAAGGTTCAAGTCCCCCTGAAACTACTATGAACACTTGCAATTACAATGAAACTTGCTTACGGCATATGAAAAATTCGTGACTTGGCAACTACGCCGACAAAACTTGAGCAGGCAAACGAAAGTCCGACAATTCAATTCCTACCGGAAAAAATCCATGTACATACTGGAAAAAACAAGGTTCAGCCGAGACTTGAACCCCAACTCCTTAGGGTGCAAAGGCGACCACGTTACCTCTAGACCAAAAAGGAACAAGCCTGGAAGTTATTACGGTTTAATAATAAAGCAAGTAAGATTTGTGAGAAAAGTTGACGGGAAAAAATCTTGTTGCAGATTACAAGACACTTGTTCTCGCAAGTGTAAAAATCAGAATTTCAACAGATGAACTAATAATTAGCTAATTAACAGAAGAACAACTCACAAATCAGCAAAAATATATGTTTTGGCCGTTTTCTTCCAAATTACAGCAATGCTTTTAATTAGCAACAAGAACAGCCGTCTTCTATTAGCGCAAGAATAGAAAGTTCCCACGACGGATTTTTTCGACAATAGATCTACTTGGGAACGATGTAGTTGGAGACCAACCCAGGCATCCCAGTCGTAGAGCTTAGATGAGAAACAGTTTCATGGGAGTTCACCCCACCATTCCGAAGTGCTCTCCCCGTCCATTGGGTCAGGACTGGGGTTCTAGCCAGATTTTCATTAGTAACAGGTTGTATTCACACTAGAGCATAAGTGAGCAAACAATGCTTGCAAAAAAAAGCATTTCAAAAATTCTGTGCATTCCAGTAGGTTTACAGTGCGTGTGATGTTTACACGTCGACTGAAAAATTACTATCCCTCATGAACAAAGGTATTAAATAAGTTTAGCAAAAAAGCCATATCAAAGTTAATAATAACTTATTAAACACTAGAGACAGTTCTGTGGGCACATGAAGCAGCCAACACGTCTCATATAAGCATCCAGCGCACGAGCACACGAGCTTCCCTCAACGTTGGACAGAAAAAAATAAGGCTAATTAGAGGGCGAAATTAGGTCCACATTTAGAGACATACCAGGAAGTTACACGGAGAAAATAATGTCAAATAGTTTGCCTACATTTACTTTCGTTAAAAGTGTGATGCAAAAGTTTAATAAATGCAAAAGCTTAAAAAAATGCAATCAAACTAGTCTGAAGATACGAATTAAGTCTTGATATTTGAAGCTTGATCAGTTCTGTTAGTTACCGCGTACTTTTTATATTTGATTCTTAAACCTCTAATTTTAATTGTTTTTTAATTGAGGTTAGAGAAAAAGAAGAATTTGGGGTTATGAACAAAGAGAAACATTGAGGTGATACAAAGGCTGACACCATCAAAATTGATGGATAGTTTGCATGCTGCGTGCATACCTACCGTAACAAAGGGCTCCAATCAGAACTCAACATCCGTCGTTTGTTGTATTCGGCAAGCGCGACAGAACCCAAGTTCTCAACTGCCCGAAACTACCTGCCGTTTCAAAAATAAGATTAAACATTTTATTTACTTGGAAATAATCGACTAATCATAAGCCAGACCTCTTCATTAGAGTCTCTCAACAACTGCAACGCAATGTCGTTTTTGATTCCTTGTATCTATAGCACTTCGAGTTTCTTTTTTTAAATTTGATTGTACAAAAACCAATTATATTGAACCAGCGTTCTTCCTCGGAACAAAAAATACAGCTACTTAAAATTGTATGAAACAATTCAAAAACTTTTTTACATGTCCCTTTGATTCTTTCCTTATAAGATTTGCGAGAGCAAGTGTCTTGTAATCAGAAACAAAAATTATTTCCTACTAAACGTGTTTCTCAGTAATAAATTATACTTTCTGATTATAAGACTTCTGCTCTCGCCATTCATTCTTTGGATCTTAAGTAAGATACATGATACACGTACCACATTTACCAGGACTTAGTTTCACAGAAAGACCGTTTCACAAAAAAGTGTTTTAATAAACATACAAAGAAAGCGTTTCAAAAACTAGAGAAAGCAATTGTGTCACAGAGGCGAAGCTGGGCTTCGCAAACACTGGCGAAAACACGACAAAAAAGCAGCTCCATAAAGTGAAATAAAAAACTAGAAATAAGCCTCGAATTACTACAAACTCGGAAACCTCTCAAATTCGAGCCTGCTACCTTCGAGCATGCTACATTTTCACGGGTTTTCCAAAAATATGCTAAGCGAGTTTCTCGAAGTTATGTGCTTGCTTAAGGAAAGCATAGCGGATTAAGCTTTCACTTTTCAATTAGTAAGAAAATCTAATTGAGTTTAAGTTTGAAGTTTGCATGAAAAAAAATTTTTAATTTAAAAAAGAATGGTTTAAATAACAAAAAAAAAGAAATGGTTATCATGAGAAAAACCAAAATTTAGTACTCCAACACAAAAAACAAAAACGCAAAAAAAAATGTCAAACAACAAATTGGAAAAAGTGAGTACTGGATGTATACAACATTTTTCAATCAGAAATTTCAATTGGTTGCATATATGTCCATAATTTAAGTGAATTCCGCTGCTTTGTAAAAACGGAACGTAGCAGGTTATACAATGGGAGCTTATCTTCACATCTTCCTTTTGATTGAAGCCAAAATCTCACATTTTTCAAATTTTTTTTTCAAAAACTGTCAAAAACCAAGTTTACATTGTCCGAGGGCAAAATTTTTGTGCTAAAAACATTTGGGCGTAGCCACTTAGGCATGGGTATTTTTCCACAGCTCTTTCGTTTGATTGAACCCAAATTTTCAGATTTGTTAGAAGTTTTGGAGACAAGAAAAAAGCTTGAAAAACAGTCAAAAAATCAGAATTACGATATTTCCGAGGACAATATTCTATGGTAAGAGAAAAATGGGCGTAGCCGTTAATGCGTGTGTGTGTGTGTGTGTTGAGCGAGATGGATGTCTAGTCGTCGTCGTTTCTGTCCGAAATCGGTGGGTTTATCTTGTCCAGGAAGCGTTGCCATATTTCCAGGGCTTTTCTTGGGATGGTGGTCATCTTGTGTAGGTTCCAATCTTCTGGGTAGTGGTTCCTCATGGCAGGGCAATCTTCCATTATGTGTTCCATCGTTTCTTCGGCTAGCCCGCAAAATCTGCATTCGGATTCAGTTTCATCATTGATCTTTATACGCCAGTAACGTATCTCTGTGTGGTGACCACTGCGAAGGCGGCTCAGAGTAACCTGTTCCCGTCGTGTCAGGTCCTCATCTAATGGGAACTTAGGGACTGAGTTGCTGTCACAGTACACTCTCTTGCATCTTGGGTGTTCCACACTGGTGTTCTTTATGTTTCTTCTTATTTTCGCTTGTGCTGAGTGATAAGTCCAGGGGATGTTGTCTTGCGACATAGCGCTACCTTCTGCTGCGCATCTGTCAGCTTCTTCATTTCCCCATAGGCCACAGTGGCTAGGGCACCACAGGAAGACGATACCGACTTGTCGCTCGCCGAGGGTCATGAGGGAGTCAAGGACCTCTCTCTCCAGCCATGAGTTGGGACGCGGGTCACTCGTGATGCTCTCACAGCGTTGAAGTGCCGATTTCGAGCCGGTGATGATGCGGATCTGGCAGTCATGGTGGTCGTTGGAGGCTACGTGTTTTAGAGCATGATTGATGGCCGTCAGTTCGGCTTGGAAACTGGAGGTGAGTTTGCCAGCGGGGTGACTCAGCATCGTTGTTTCCTCTTCTGGGTCTGAGGGGACTATCACTACTCCTGCTCCTCCGTTCTTGTTGCTGTCTTGGGCTGAGCCATCAGTGTAAATATTGAGCTTGTAGGTGTCATGGTTTAGATTGATTGCTTCTTCTCCTGCCTTCTTTTTCGTCTCATTGTCCTGTCGTTTCTCTACGTTCGTGTAGGTGAAGGCGCAGTTAGAGAGTTTAGTCCATGGCGCTACGGGATCCGGGAAGGGTTCAGGGTTGCAACCTTCTGTGAATATCTCGTTCCATTTGTCTCGGGCATGGTCTCTCCAGTCTGTTTTTTTGTACGCCGGTGTTGTGGCTTCTCTGCAATCTGGCGTCTGGGGTTGCTCGGGTCGAGTCGCATCGATTTCTCAAGAGCATTGATTGCGATGAACTTGCACCTTTCCTTGATTGTGGGCAAGCCGGCGTCAAGGAGGACCGCTTCGTTCGGCGTCGTCTTCAACTGCCCGGTCACTGCTCTGCCTGCGAACCTTTGGGCTGCCTCAAGCCTCTCAAGGTTCGTGCTTGACATCCAGGGGTGCCAGACTGCTCCCGCGTACTCCACCAGAGAGCGGGAAGTCGCTGTATAGGTGTCTCTGAGAAGTCGCTTGGAGTGTCCCCAGTCTGTGCCTGCCAGGTAGAGGAGGACTCGCGATCGCTTCTGGACTTTCTTCGTCACATGTTCGGTGTGCGCTGTGAAGGTCATCTGTCTATCATAGTGGAGACCAAGGAACAGGGGGTTCTGGGCTGTCTTAATCGTGGTGTCTCCAATGGTGATGTTAGGGATCCATCTGGCTTCCTTTGTGTTGGTAGTAAAGAAAGAGCTTTCGCACTTTCCCAGTGAGATCGTGAGCTTCCAGGTGAGGCTCCACTCGGCAATCTTGTTTACAGCTCGCTGGACTGCTGATTCTGCTTGGCGAAGGGAGGTGCGTGAGGCATATACTGCAACATCGTCGGCGAACAGACTGGCCGTCACGTCATCCGGAGTCACTTCGGCGAGATCGTCGATGTAGACGAGGAACAACAGGGGTGCAATGACGGATCCTTGAGGAACTCCTTGTCTGAGGAGCGTCTTTTCGCTCTTGCTGTCTCCGAAGGTGACAAACGCCTGCCGGTTGCTGAGCCATCCTTGGGTCCAGCGGATCAAGGTCTTCGAGAGTCCTTTCTTTTGCATCTTCCAGAGGAGGCCATCTCTCCAGACTGTGTCGTAAGCCTTACTGTAGTCTTTCGTAGCCAGCACAGTTCTGTTCATAGGCTTCATCTGGAACGCATCAGAGACTTGCTGCGAGAGGCGGAGCAGTTGGCCTCAGTACTCCTGCGCTTTCTGAAGCCTGCTTGAAGCGGTGTAAGCAGGTTCCTGCTCTCGAGGTGGTACGTGAGTCTGCTTGTTATTATTCTTTCCATGGTTTTGCCCACTACCGACGTCAAGCTGATCGGTCTGTACGAGTCTGTTTCTTGTGCGGCTTTCTTGCCCTTGAGGATCGGCCTAATGTCCGCCGTCCTCCAGGTCTGCGGCACCTTGCCACTTCTCCAGACGTGGTTGAAGAGCCGTAGAATATAGTCCTTCGCAGTTCTGCCAAGGTTCTTCAAAAGGCGCGGGTGGATGTGGTCAGGGCCGCCGGCTTTATTGGCGTTTAGCTTCTTCAGAGCGGCTTCTAACTCGTTCCCGGTGAGGTCTTGGCTCATCTCTTCCTCCACTGTGGGCGAGCGGAGCGCTTTATTAACGGCTTTCTTCACCCAGCGGTCTCTCTTGCTGATGTGGGTGTTGCTGGCCTTCTTGTAGCAGCTCTTGAAGGCTGTAGCTTTCTGCCGATTGGTGACTCTGGCTACGCCGTCGTGCATGAGGATCTTCGATTTGTTCTGGGACTGTGTGCCATTGCCAAGTTTCCAGATCAGGCCCCACAGGTTGGATCCTTTTGCACCCGTAACTCTCTTCCTCCATATTTCTTGTTTCTTCTCGATCATCAGTTCGGTGGCTCTCTTGTCGGCGCTGGCGAACTCCTCTGCGTTCCTGTGTCTCATAGGTTTCAGGCGGTCTCTCTCATCGATGGCCTCTTTAATTTCCCTAGTGAGCCACACTTGGCCAGCTTGACCGACTTTTTTGAGGCCAATATGTTTCGTGGCTGCACCCATGACGGCGGCGTACAGCTCTAGTTCCATCTTCTTGGTTTCCGACTCTTCACTGTTTCTCAGTTTGTCCTCGACTTCAGCTTTGAAGCCTTCGAAGTCCGCTTCTTTCCAGTTCCAGACTAGGTGGCCTTTAGTTCGGTTTCTGGTCTTCACTGGGAGGTTAACTTCTGTAATGATTGGCATGTGGTCGGAGTTGAGGCGAGGTTCCACAGTCCAAGTACATCTGTCGGTGAGCTCGTTGCTGGCTATCGTGATGTCCGGAGAGGCGAGGGCTTCCGACGCTGGGTCTTTCCTAGTCGGGCTCCCATCGTTGAGAACCGTCGCTTCCATGTCAATCAGGCTCTCGCTAATCGAGGTGCCTCTGTAGTCGTTTCTCGCGTTGCAGTCCCAGAGCGCGTCGTGGGCATTGAAGTCCCCAAGCAGGAGCTTGTTCGATCTTAGTTGTAGGTTGACTTCTTCCGATCTGTCGCGCCTCCGTTCCAGGACAGGGGATGACTCCGGTGGCAGGTAGATGTTGGTGATGGTCAGTGGATCTTCGCCAGTAACCACCTCAACTGAGAGTCCCTCTGCTCCTTGGTTGTTCCTTTCCACTGGGCAGTCCACTACTCTGTAGCTCAGGTCGTTTCGGATCAGGGTCATGACACCTCCTCCTCTAGCTATTCTCTCGAGGAGTCTGTCTCTTCTGACCACTGTGTACTTGACGAAGCACGGAGAGCTATCGCTCGGGATCATCTTGGTTTCTTGCAGGCAGCAGATATCGATCTTCTCTTCGTCGAGGTAGCTTTCAAGTTCCATAATGTGTTTGTGGATGCCACCTGCATTCCATTGGAGGACTCTAATCACATCTTGAGTAGGAGTCTTCGCTGGTTGAGGCAGGGGTACGTCTGCTGTAACGTTGTTGCGGGCGCCGTGCTCAACTTTGCACGGGTTGCAGTTCCAATCCGGGTTTCGCCTCACTTGCTGTCTCTCGCTGGGCGTGTTGCCAATGCATTGGATGTGGAAGCTTCCTCTGCAGGTGGCACACTGTTTGCGCGGCGCGTTCCGATTAATTTTCCTTTTGCAGTCCTTGCACTGAGAGGCTGGTAGTTCCGCACTAGTATCTACGGGTGTATCCGAGGTGCCATGCTCGCAGGCGCAACACTTCCACTGGTTGCTTCTGCCTCCCGAATATTTCAGGTGGGCCACCGATGACTTACACTCCTGGCAGATGTTTCGCGGGCCTCCGGTTTTAATTGTGGCTTTGCAGCAGTCACATTTCGCTTTCGCCAATGGTTCTTCTTCAAATGTGAAGGCAGTCTCTTCCACTGGCGTCGCCGTTAGGCAGTGCGTGCAGCTCCATGATTCCCTAGTGGCCTCTCTGTTTCTCAAGGCTCTGGGGACGTCTCCACATTGGTAGTGCAAAGTTTGGGAGCACATGCTGCATTTGATGCCTGGGCGGGTTTTCCGCAGGCCTTTGTCGCACGAGGCGCACTTCACCCAGTCCTTCTCTTCACATTTGACACAGGTGAGGGTGTCTTTCGCGTACGCTTCTTGGGCTTCGCGTCCACTGCACATCCTTCTCATGTGGAACTTGGCTCTGCACTTGTTGCAACTGAAGTGTTTCATGGCGATGGGGTCTTTGCACCAGTTGCATTTGGCGGCCGCAGGTCCTGGGTTAGCTTCTACATCTCCGGCCCTTAGTAGCAATTGTCGAGAGGTTAGGGCCTCTGTCTCTCGACTACCCAAAAACCCGACTTCTTCTTTCTTCGACGACTTTCTCTCCATCCCGTTGATGACCCAGTTCGAGGATCTGTGATCCCCCCCACACACCACGAGGAGGTCTGGGTCGTTGTGTGGGAGCCGTTAATGCAGGGGACATACCTAGAACCAGCTCTCTCCACTGAACAAAAAAATCTCCTATTTGAGAGGGTAGTTTTTGAGAAGTCACAAAGTTTCAAAAAACGGTCAAAAAAAATAAATTATTTAACTTTTCCGAGGCCCATAATTTTCTGGTCGAAAAAATTGGGCTTAGCCGCTAATGCAGGGTAGCTCCCTTCAACATGTTTTTTTGTTTGAAACAAAAATCTCAGATTCGGGATGGTAGTTTTCGTGTAGAGTCAAAAAAAATTTAAGAAAACGGTCAAAATCAAAGTATTCACTTATATTAACTGCTTATGCAGGAGAGCTTATCCTGTTCCACGATCTTATCCGCAATCTGTTCCCTCCATTGAACCCAAAATCTCAGCTTTGGGAGGGTAGTTTTCGAGAAAAGGAAAAAACTTCCCAAAATATGGGTCAAAAAAAATTCCACGCAAACTTTGCGCGTCTGGGCCGTTATCCTCAAGGAGGCACATATCGTCTGCAAAATCGAGATCTGCGACTGACGTGACCTCTAGCCTAGCGCTATTCCTAGTCTTTCATTTTTCAGCGTTTCATTTACAGAGTTTCCCCAATCCTTGATTTATCTCCGGGGAGATGTTTCCATCAAGTTGGATTTTGCTGCCAAGATACTCGAAGTTCTGCACTAATTCGATGTCCTCGCCGTCGATTTGAAACGTCTGGGATGGGTCTTGTGAACAAAACTTTGTCTTGCTGACGTTAATCTGGAGCCCAATGAGTGCTGCCTTCTCGGTGATTTTTGTTAGCAGTCTGTGTTTGGGCTGTGTTTCCATTAGTACCAAATTGAGCATGTCTTAGTAGCCGAAGAAATTTATCAGCAGAAATTGTAAAAATTCTTTACTGGAAAAAAGTCTAGTACTCGATTACACGTCAATTGCACTCATAAATGAAAATATCACCAGACATATTCTAATAATTGCTTTTGAAACCTGATTTTTTGTGAAAAAATTTAAAAAAAACTAAAACACTCAAAGATTAAGTTCTTTCCCATTTTCAGTGCTCGGAACCATTAAGCTTTTACTAAGGTAAATCTTGAGCCAAGTCGAATATTCTTTTGATTAGAATAATCAGTAAATAATATCAAAGAAGAAAAATAATTAGCACCACTAGTTAAAGTACATTTAAGCAATATATAAAACTATAAAAATTTGAAATTCTAAATTCTACAAAAGGATCTGTTCAAGTTTAGCTATGCTGTGTAGTTTTTGTGGCTGCGCTTTTCTCAATTTCATCACACAATTCTAACATTTGGTTAATCCAAACAATACAGTCTGCCACCCGATCAAACTCCGGGTATGTTTTCAAAATTTCCAGCAGAAATATTCGGATGCCGACCAGCCAGTGTTCTAAGTTAGCTTTGGTGAAGTGTTTGAGTTTGCGTAAGCAGATTGGGCATAGCAGCAGTGGCTGTTTCATCGCCTGTTGTATGGAGACACTGCCATTCATAAGACAGTGGAATGTGTTACAGTGTTTCATTCCGAACACGTGACACACTTCATGGGCCGACACCTGAAACAGCAGCTAAAAAACTGAATTGAGCACATCACAGCATTACAACCAGTTTTGCATCAAGTGATTTTTGGTTCAATATTAATATGGAGCTTTAAATTTATCATCTCATGCAGCGATGCAAAAACTAAGTCAATATAACATAAGCCAAATCTTTTTTCGCCGAAGATATTTAACTTAAGTGAAAACATTTTTAAAAATAGCAAAAAAGTTAGTAAATCTAGAACCAAGATAAAATTAAATTTTGACGCAGAGGTGAAGTTGCACTATGCTTACACAAGCAAAAATATGACCGATAATTCTACTGAGAAAAACTGAATGATTAAAACTTTGAGTCTACGTAATTTCTTAAGTGACGCACGCCAATTATGAGTCGACATAATTGCTTAGTGACGCAAACCAATTAACAGTACCAGTCAATTTGAAAAAAGAAATTTACCAACTAACATGCCTCAATTGATAGAGCGGACGCATTGTAATTAGTATAAGAAAAAGTTCATTAAAAATATCCGACCCTGGCCAGGTTCGATCCCTCTTATTCTGTTGCGGGTCTCCATCCCTACCTCTACGCTACAGATCCATGATACCTCGAAGCTAAAGTGCTATTTGTAATATAAAAGTCTGTGTTAACATCCTTAGCATTGGCTTATGCACATACTGCAACAAAATGAACTCTAATATTTGCGACTTAGGTTGAAAAAAAGAGACATCATACTATCACACAAGCTTTGCTTTTGTAAATAGAGGGGATATTTGAAATCAGACATGTTCAAATTATAGCTGCTGATCTTTTCAGCAGGGAATGACCTGATGGGTTCAGCTGCGAGACTAACCGGTACCAATACTTTTGCTCTCACAGGTGTTAACATTTTTGTTGGCATATTCCTGTTCGGATCAGCGGTACAAGTGGCCTACCATAGAATGCCTTCCCCAAGCACGTATTAAACCTGACATAAAACTCTGCATAAAATATACATTTCACACAAATGCGCAAATAAAATTGGTTTTTTTACGCGGGATTGCATTCGTTATTCGTATGCTGTTAATTACACAAACTAATGTTTTAATTCAATTTTCTTCAGCAAAACGATTAATTTTGAACAAATCTAAGCTATACTCAAAGTTAGCTTACAAAAAATCGATTAGGGGGAGCTGTGCGGATGATCCTCCAGTTCTAATCCTAACTCTTAGTTCCTTAACCAAATTAAGATTCATTCCTAGTTTGTCAACATGTAAACGTCAGAAAGTCAAACTGTTCAAAATTAAGTTGGATGATTTTCTAGTTTAGTTTCACAAGCCTAATTAAAATCAATAGTTGCACGGTTACAGCTGCCCGCACGGTTACAGTTAGCCCGGCTACATTGCCTTGTATAAATAAGTCAACAATTTTATTGCACATTAGCTTTTCTTTTTTTACTCTGAAATGTCTCAAGCTGTTACCTTCAAAAACTGCCAAATGATCTTGGGCGTGAGTTGTTTTACATCCGGTTGATTAGTCTTAAAGCTGGATGGTTCGAATCTGCCGAAGCTCATGACTGCACACCTGTAGAGTGAGCTGCCCTGACCCAGCTCGAAGTTCATCTTCTCCTCGGGGTAGAGGTCATGCCAAGAGACCACTATAAGGCACTGGTATTTGGGTTCCCGTTGGCTCACGTATTGTTCTGCCAGTCTGATGAGGCTGGTGGAGAGGATCTGGAACTTCTTCGTTTTGAAGTGGTACCTAAATTTAACCATACTTTTATTTCAAATATTGGCTCAACCTACTCCCCTCCCCTAACCACCCCTTACTTAGATATCAGACTCTTTTCCAGTTCCCCCCATTTGATTTTCTTTAAAATTCGTATATGACAGTCTAGATAAAATGACTTAATTTGTTATAAACTGCATTACAACGTGTCAGCGTGAGCAGGTGAACAAATTCTTACATGCAAAATGCTTCATTTTGTAATTTTACGAGCGGGTGGGAAACTGGAAAAGAGCCAGATAGCAACATCAACCTTACGGTGTTATCCTTGATTTCACGAAGGAGAGCTAAATTGGAAAAGAGGCGGAAACGGGAAACGTTTCAGCGACTTTTTCCATCTTTCCTCCAGTGGCGTTTTTTATCCTCCATTCCAACAAATTAGTTGATGGGGGAAAAGAAAGAGTCAAACATTGGTCTGCTAGTGGTGGAAAAAATCAGACCCATAAATAACGTTTCACAATGATGGCACTGACCGCACTGATACCGTGGCTATCCTGCCCTTCCTTACATCGAAACCAAAAATCAACCGTTTTCTGACCTGGTGATCATCTGAGGAAACTGCTTGACTGAGATTTGAGGCAGACAGTGTACTCGGAAGCCCATGAAAAAGCAGGACATCCAGTTGGATATCAGACTGGTCAGGTAGTTCGTGTCTATGGAGGCGGGAAAGGGACCCAGGGGCAACAAGCCGATCAGTCTGTTACGATTAGACACTAAAACACATCAGTCTGTTGAAGTCAGTCTCGTTTAACGCTGGAAAAGCATTTACTAATTGAGTGAAATCTATTCCGATTGAATTCACAACGAATCAGTTAAAGTAGAAAACCAAAGCGAAAAGTAAACTCTTTTCTTTTTCAGCCTTTCCAATGAAAAATGAGTTGTTTTCAAATAGGTTGCGCAAATTATCAATGAATCATTACCTTTTTTGTTCATTAAACTCTGCGCTAATGCGTCCAGCTGCACAGATCCCCTCCACTCGAAGAAGTTCTCAGTAATGGTCAGTGGCAGTTCCCTCGGGTTCGCCACTCGATCAAACAGCTTAGCCATGGCCTCCACATGTTTAACCCCATCCTCCCCACACGGCACTCTGTCTGGGGGAGGAGGCTGTTGTCTCTTGAGCAGACTGAATATAACTGACTCGAAGTGCGAGAAGGAAGACTCATTTCCAGTGTGGAAATAGTCATACATCTCTGAAGACAATGAACACACTCCGATTGGGACATAAAAAGGAACACGTGCATAACTCACCAAATACGAATTCACTAGAGAGATCTCCTTATGAAAAGAATCAGCAGATTGAAACTTCAGCTTTTAGCAGACCCACTTCACAGAAAACGGAGTTATCAATAAGTTTGTCAGAAGCTACTGTGACAAGCAAATTACTCAGAACAAAATCAAAATGCATTATAAGGCCTCAAAAATTAAATATCAATTGGAGCTTTAGTTGCGTTTAGTGAAAATTGCGTTTAGTGAAAATTGGTGGCTCTAAAATTAAAACTGCTATGACAAATCATTTTCAACTTTGGCTTTTTCGATCCCCATCCTTCGAATTTCAATTTCTAATACCTGTCTTAGCGTCCCCATCCTTCGAATTTAAATTACTAAAAACTATCTGAACGTCGAAAATATCAGCCTATATATAAAAACGGCCCCAACCCCTTTTCCATCTCCCTTTCAAATTTTCTGTTCTTACTGTTGTTTTACGTGTAATTATGGCTAAACGCGTAAATTTTCTATGTAAGGTTTGAAGATTAAATTGTTCACAATTGTTGCTTGTTCATTATACCAAATTTCATTGCATTACGGCAATGTTAAAGTTTTTTAAAACTAAAATTCCAATGAAGGGGGAGCGGAAAAGAGCCATTAAATATATTATGGCCAAATTCGGACTGAAAATCAAAATTGAAAAATGGCTTTATTGAATTCAATTTAGCGTATTGTTTAATCGAAACTGACACAAAATCAGTCATTTTTCTGTTAAATTGCATCAAAAGGGGCCTACTAGACTTTCCAAAAAAATAAACATTTATCACCTGAAGATGAACAGAACAAAATAGAAAGGCCTGTTTTTTTGTACACAGGAAAGATCCGTTAAGCCCTTTCAGAAGTTTTCAGAACAAGCCAAAAACATTTTAATTAAGGAGCAAAACAGCCAAGAAAAATAAGTGTTTCTGGTTGAAATGGGGAAAGAATTCATTCATTCATGGGTTTCTTTTGACATCTTTTCTTCCTCAAAGGGATTCTGTTCTCATTAGAAAAATTGTCGAAACAGGTGGATCTTCAGTTTTTTTTCTAGGAACATTGACCCCATCTGACGATTGTTAGTGGTAATTGATACTGCTTGAAAAAAAAGATGAAACAATCCCACCATTTTCAAAGTTCCAAAATTGTTTACGAGATGTTTTGACATAACTTATACTTAGGGCTGCTGGGCTATCAGGATTTATTAACAGTTTAATATATTTCGAGTGGTGTGGCGTCTCTTGCACGGAGGGATACTTGGTTCGACATTTCAATCTGGAATCTACATCGACCATCCGAATGAGGTGGAGATTGATTGCTCAATTTATTCTCTCTGTATATGTCACTGGGGAGCCACGAAACCTCTCAAGGAGAATTCTACCACCCGGGGGTTGACTTTTTAACTGAATACATTACAATAATTCAAGTGAAAAAATTCAATAAAACTGACAGTGAATAATGCTTTTTGTCATATTGAACATCGCTCATAAGGCTTTCAGACTAATTAACTAGGGGCCCAGCTAAAGCTGGAGGTATTTGTTTGACACAAGGGCGAAGCGGAGCTTCACCTCACTTGCGATACCACAAAAATAGCATTGCAAGCTATCAGACAGGAAAGGAAGCAACTAAGTCCAAAGAAAACGGAAAAATTTACGAAGAAACCACAGCTTACAGACTTCACAATTTGTCTGGGATGCTGTTCTATTTGCAAAAAAAAACATGTCCAGAAACACATTCGATGGCGTTTAATGAAAATTCGCAAATATTTTTAAGGCTTTGAGGTTTTTGACGTTTTGAGCGATCCTGGAGGAAAGCATATAAATTATAGTTTCTTCAGACGATCTAAAATTATGTAAGTAAGCCATGAAATAAAGCCAAAATCATTTAGGCCGAAAAAATTTTCAAGTAAAAAGAATAAAAAGAAAAACATACGAGTCAAGGATAGTAGAACAACAACTTGCAGGAGTAAACGAAAACATAAAAAGCAACTACAATGAAAACAGCATACAGCAGATTTTCTAAAATGTGGCAATTAAGACGACAAAACATAAGCAGACAAATAATAAGCCGACAATTTATTTGAAACGGAATATTTCCCGTTTGAAAAAAAAAAACGTGTTCTGGTCAGATTCTAATCCAGGACCTTTGCTGTCCCAGGCGTATTCGTTACCTCCAGACTAAGTGTGCCTTGGAAATTTGAATTCATTGTGAACCAAAATATCAAGTGATTCCGTGTAACAAGGTATTAACCCGAAAAAGTCTATTTCCGATTTGATTACGCTTGCTGATCGCAAGCGTAATAATTTTTGTTTCTGCAGAATGAGATGCGCGATGAAATTTGAGGTTGTACTGATGCAGCAAGAAATGCGTAATTTTCAAAAACTGGACTTCACTCAAAACCTTAGTTGTTCCTCTGCTAACATAGAAGATAAGCGAAAACGAAAAATATCGGTCATACATTCCACCCACATACTTTTTCGAAGACTGTAGACAGTGGAGTAAGGCAAAAAGAGACTAGAAAATGTAATAACACATGGTAAAGAGCGGTTTTTTCATTGATACCACTTTTTTGGAAATCGGTAAAGCAGTTTTTGAGAAAAATTACTGTTGAAAAAACGGAACTTTAAAGCCATACTAAAAAAAAATATATTCCATAACAAGCAAGAACGTATTTCAGGAATTTATAGAAAAAACCGTGTCACTTGACTCATGTAGGGATTAGAAACGATATGATAAAACCAGGTTTTAATGATCTCATGCTTTCAAAATAGGTTCAGTTATCAACTAACTATAACGTGCACGGCAACACTGCTGTTTCCAATCACTGGTTCTAATTGCTGATCGTCTATATTCGTGTTTTCCGTATCGCTGTTGATCTCCGCACGTTGGTTTTCGCATGACATTCGTTCCACTCAATTGATGCTGACCGTAGTTATTGACTATTTTGTTGAAAAATTGCCGCGAAAATTGCCACTTACAGATTAAATTATTTGATTTTTCCCCTTTTTTGCGATATAATTCCTGCTTTTAAGCTAGCGGTAGTAATTTGAACGTTATCAGCCATGATTAGTGTTTTTGGTTTTTGAAATTTCTAACGTGTTGTCTTTCTTTTTTATGGGTGTTTTCTGTCTTTTCTAGTCGGCTCCTTGAAAGATAAGTTGGATTTCGCTTTAGTTAAGTCAATTGCAATGTTTGCTGACGCGTGACATATTTTGGGTCTGATTAAGAGCTATTTGAATTAGTTACAGTCTTAAAATTTTTCAATTGACTACTGAAACCAAGTTTTATTGCTCTTTTTTTCTCTTCCAGTACCTGCGCTCAATCAACGCGGAGCTTCATAGCGCCGCTAAGATCTGGCTACAGCCCGTTTTGAAATACTTACCGCACTAGAATTCACCCCAATGTTTCCCGAACTGTCCGCATTGTCTTGTTACCCCACGCTACCAGGACTGAACTCACAATATAAGACCTGTGGCTTCGGTCGGTCGAAGAAGCGAAGTTCCTGAACTCACATCAATAGACCTGTGGACGACCAAAGAAGCGAAGAATCCATCGCTAGAAGAGGTGGTTCCCCTTCTACGTCGTTTTGCCGCTGGAGACCTTGGCGGAACTGCAGTGATCGATTGACAAGGCAAAAACCAATTATAACCGATTATAAACACACAAAAAAACACACAAACACACACTCTTTCTCTCTCTCTCTCTCTCTCTCTCCCGCTCTCTCTATCAAACATAATCGATCTCTCAAATTTAATCAGAGGTTCGAAGCAGAGACCGCCGTAGCAACAAAAGGACCGGACAATAACAACTAACAACCTTCGGGAAACTAACAAAGGACAGGACAAAAACAATTCCACAAAATCTGGTTGATAGTCAATTCAATTGCTTCACAGATCTGTTGATATTGATTCTTCTAGCATCATTGTACATAGTATTACATAGTTAACACAGAAGCGAAGCAGAGTAATTTTCGTGTGTTTCGGTAAAACTTCCTGCTAGGCTATTGTGCCTAGCAAGACACTTTAAAATTAAATTGGCAACGGAGCAAATTTATCAAGCGGAAACACTGCCAACAACCTTTGAGCAGACACCAGTTGCACCGTTAATAATAATAAAAAGTTTCAAAACCCTCCTGAAACCACGCGAAATAACACTTACAACTACAATGAAGCTTGTTTACAGCACAAGAAAATGTGGCAATATAGCCGATAACACAAGAGCAGTCAAACAAAAGTCCGACAATTCAATTTTTACCGGAAAAACTCAATTCATACATACTGAAAAAAAAACAAGGTCCGACGGGACTCCAAAACCCAAACCTTAGGGTGCAAAAGCAACAGCGTTACCTACAGGCCAAGTGGTGGGAGGAGTCTCGAAGTTGCTAACGTTCCTTAATGAAATGATGAGATTTGTAAGAAATGTTGTTCACGTAAAAAAAGTCTTGTTCCCAATTATACGACACTTGCTCTCGCAAGTGCAATAAATAACAGCTTGAGGTCTAATTTCATAGCAAGATCAATTATATTATCAAGACAATTTTGACTACATCAAGGAAAACTCGTACGGGGGTCATGTGTATTATCAAATTAAAGACCTATTGGTTGAAACTCTGGTTCGAAAAAGAAAACTAAAAAAACGTTGCTGCAATGTCGAGAAAATTTAGTATTTTCGATCTTTAGACACAGAGGTGAAGCGGAGTTTTGCACCACTAGCGATACAACAACAATAACAACAAGTAAGAAAAATTAAATGTTGCAAAAAAACTAGGTGAACCGAAATTTTCGTATGTCTAGATTAAACAACTGAAGGCCTAGCTGAAGCTGGAGGTATGTGTTTGATTTGAATGAATTTGCTATACTGATGCGGCATGAAAAATGGGATTTCGAAAATTGCATCTTCCCAAAACCTTAGCTGTTTCTCTACTAAAAAAAGTGAGAAGAGTAAAAACTTTTGAGATAATCAATTACTCTAAGGATTTGATTGTAAACTTTAAGAAAAATCAAAAAGTTTCTAAAAAACGGAAAATAAAAAAAAGGTCAGAGGATTTCTAAAATGCGTAACTTTTTCTTGCAAAGAGAAAGCTGTGGCCGCTCAAGCTGGTCACAAATAAAAAATTTGAC